TGAATGTGTGTGGATATGATCAACCTCTTCCATCATAATTCGTCTTCGACATAGTTTCCTTTCTTTTTCTTCGACGATGGAGGGGGGATCGATTTATGGAAAATTCTAAATTCACGATTAAATATAGTCTTTTTATGGAGAAAATTAATAAGGATGTACTCCTGTACTATTATGGATGCAAATCTTGTCGGAACATCCACTAAAGGATGGGGGCATTATGAACCATAAAGGGGACATATTGTAAAATTCCCAAACTATCCCCCAACACCGCACAACTCACACAATAATGAATAGCAACACACCCTGTTTCTATGCGGGTTTTCTGATAGAATTTGTACTCTACTACCACGCAGGCCGCTATAGGCTAGGTTCAGGCTAAACTCTTTTAGTCATGAATGCCTATGAAAACTCATTTACTCTCTCTTGAGTTCAAACTTCATGTGTGGATAAGATCAACCTCTTCCATCATAATTCGTCTTCGACATAGTTTCCTTTCTTTAATAAGGATGTACTCTCATACTATTATGGATGCAAATCTTGTCGGAACATCCACTAAAGGATGGGGCATTATGAACCATAAAGCGGACATATTGTAAAATTCCTAAACTATCCCCCAACACCGCACAACTCACACAATAATGAATAGCAACGCGCCCTGTTTCTATGTGGGTTTTCTAATAGAATTTGTACTCTACTACCACGCAGGTCGCTACAGGCTATGTTCATGCTAAACTCTCTTAGTCATGCATGCCTATGAAAACTCTTTTACTCTCTCTTGAGTTCAAGCTTCATCCCATTCATATATCTGGACTTGGAATTTTTAGAATCAAATTTGCATCCAAACTCAATAGATCAGGATAGATTAGGCTTAGTTTGTACTACACATGTCTGAGCTCGACCCTGAGTGCACTTGTTTTCCTTGAGCCAAACTTCAGCCTGCTTATATAGGTATTGTTGGATAATAGGTTATTAAGATTCCTAATCTGTTTAGGTAATAGGTTATTGGGGTTCCAAATCTGTTTTGGTAACATGTTATTAGGATTCCTAATCTGTTTTGATTTTGGTTTTAGAATTGCTAGTATGTTTTTAGTTTTAGGATTTTTATATATATAAAACATTTTAGAAGAGAAAATTAGTAGAGAGAATTAGAGAAAAAAAAGTCTTTTGAGCATATTGAGAGGGAGATATTGTGAGGGAGTTAAGATCTTTGGTTAGGGTTATATTTGAGTGATTGTGTGAGTTGTAACCCATTGTATTTCTCCTTCATATAGTAAAATTTTCTCATCCTCTCCCCGTGGACGTAGGCAATTACCCGAACCATGTAAATTCTCTGTGTTGGTTTGATTTGTGTCGTATTTTTGGTGATTGCACTCGTGTTTGGTACAGTTCTCTTCTCTCATCACTCGCCAACTCGTTTGGTTATCGAGCACGCTTCCACACAACGCGCAACAGTTGGTATCAGAGCTCCAGATTTGAGATCTAGGGTTTTGGCATTGAGTGGAGAAAGATTCATTGTGGAAGCTTGGTTCTTAGAGTTCTATGTTTCGGTGGAGATAGCGTTACAGAGTTGCCGTTGGGATCTCGCTTTCCTTGTGTGGTTAGGAGATCGTGTTGGAATCCTATCTAGGGTTTAGTTGGTAATTTCTCAATTTCTATCGAAGTTTGAATCTTTTTTTACAACTTGAAGTGGTTTGCAATGAGAGAAGAAGTTGGTGAAAGCATCAAGACGATGGCGAGTATGGTTCAGGTTGGATTTCAAAACACTAAGATTAGTGTGGTGAAGTATGACGACAAAAATCAATATTAGTTTGTGAATGAGCGATATACAGGATGCTCTCAATGCTCAAAATTTAGAAGAGACCATCATGGTCCATAAGAGACCACCGAAATACGATAAGACGATATAGGACAAGATGAATAAGAATGCTTGTGGGATGATCAGGTCTTGTTTGGAATAAGAGCTGAAATATGATGTGATTGGGGTGACGTCTACGATGAAGATGTGGAAGATTCTTAACAACAAATATCTTACAAAGAGTGTTAATAATCAGTTGCACTTGTTGAGGAGATTATTTAGATTCCAGATATCCAGAGGCACCTTGCTTACGACTTATGTGAATAACTATACAAAATTATTGTCGGACTTGGCTAACATGGATAAGAAGATAACGAATGAGTACAATGCGATTATTTTGTTAGGCTCCTTACCCGATGAGGAGTATGATACCTTGGTGCTCACTTTGTTGAACGGTCGATCTTCCATCACATATAGTAAAGTGACTAATGCATTGACAAATTACTATTTGAGGAGGAAGGACAAAGTAACCTTCAGAGCTAGCACTTCAGGAGAGGCCTTGTCGACGAGAGTCCCTATCCGAAAGGTGGCAATCGAGACAGGTCAAAGTCTAGAGGACACTACCAGATGTTGAAAAACCAATGTGCGTTCTACAAGGAATAAGGGCATTGAAAGAGAGATTGTCCGAAGCTCAAGGAGAAGGAGAATAGCAAGAAGAAGGGCCCGAAGGCCAATGAGGTGAACGTCACGAGAGATAATGATTCCGATGATTCGTGCTTTTCTCTGTTGATTACTCCAGAGGTGAACCATGTGGATGCATCTAATTGGATGCTTGATTCTGGTGCTACTTATCATGTGACTTCCCGGCGAGATTGGTTTGCATCATTTGAGAAACTCGATGGGGACGTGGTAGTCATGGGAAATGATCAATCCTATGGTATTTGTGGGATACGTACCATCAAGATTTAGATGCACGATAGAGTAGTTCGTGAATTGAATGAAGTGAGATTTGTTCCTCAGTTAAAGAAGAATCTTATTTCAGTTAGAGCTTTAGACGCGAAGGGATTCAATGTGACATTTGAGAACGCTGTAGCGAAGGTTACTAAGGGATCTTTGGTGGTGATGAAGGGAGCCCGCAGTAAAAATTTGTACTATCTGAAGGGGAGCACCGAGATTGGCCAGGTAGCTTCAGCTGTTTTAGAGGCGAACGTGAGCATACTTTGGTACTATAGGTTGGGACACACAGGTAAAAAGTCACTGTAGGTACTGTGCAAGCAGGGGCTATTAAAGGAAGCCAAGAGAGAGAAAGTTGAATTCTTTGAGTACTGTGTACTTGGCAAGAAGACAAAGGTGAAGTTCGGGATAACCATTCATAGGAAAAGAGGCATCTTGAACTACATGCACACGGATGTTTGGGGTCCCACCAAGACGACATCACTTGGTGGTTAACATTGGTTCGTCACGTTTGTAGATGACTATTCTAGACGTTATTAGGTGTGCATGATGAAGAAGAAGAGTAAAGTCCTAGAGATATTTATAGAGTGGAAGAAGAGATTGGAACTGCAGACTGAGAGAAAAATCAAGACGTTGCGATCCGACAATGGCGACGAGTACACTTAAGACCCCTTTTAGCAGCTATGTCGAGACAAAGACATAGAGAGACACTTCATAGTTAGTCATACACCGCATAAGAATGGGGTGGCAGAGAGATTGAATCGTTTTTTGCTGGAGAAGGTCTGATATTTATTATCGCAGAGTGGTTTGGAGAAGATCTTTTAGGCTGAGGTACTTTTTTATATGAGCCACCACATTAATAGGCTCCATTCATCTGCGATTGAGGAGAAAATCCCTATGAAAATATGGTCGGGAGAGCCAACACACAATTATGATCAGCTCAAGGTATTTGGGTGCCCTGTATTTTATCATGTGAAGACTGATAAATTAAAACCTCGAGCTAGAAATACCATATTTGTTGGATTCAAGCGTGGTGTGAAATATTACAAGCTTTGGGATCCAGATGACAAGAAGATTATGCTGAGTAGAGATGTCACTTTCGATGAATCTTCGATCTTGAAGCATCCTAGCTCTCATCCGGTGAAGAGCATCCCAACAGAGAAGATATCACATGTGGTGGAGATTGATACAGCTCCACAGAGTCCAAATATGACTGTATCCATTAGAGTGTCGACTGAGGTGATGCCAGGCGAGCACATCGATGATTTGGAGGGTACAAGTATAGTTGAGCAGGATTAGGGACCGACGACTCAGGTTCAGGATTCTATTACAGTTCGAAGACCCATGAAAGACATACGATTACCATCTAGGTATACAGACACAGTCGTTGCATATGCATTTCCGGTGAAGAGTGTCGATGAGATGGTTCCTACTATATTCAGAGAGGCTGACCAGAGTTTGGAAGCTGATTTGTGGCAGGAAGCTATGCAGGAGGAGATGGAGTCTCTCCATAGGAATGACATATGGGAACTTGTCGAGCTTCCAAAGGGACGGAAGGCTATTGGTTACAAGTGGGTGTATACAAAAAAAGGAGGGCATTGGAGGTACTCCGG